TGCGCCTCTGCATATTGTCGTTTTTAAGGCATTCCAATAACTGATCCAATGTATGCATTTGTTAATATACCCATGTATATATAAAAATATCAGGGATGCAACTAATGATTATTTTGCAAATTGATTAATAATCAAAAGAACTAAATGCAAAATGTGTTTTTTTTTATCTTAAATGCAAAATGTGTTTTATTTATTATCTAAACTGCAAAATGTGTTTTTTTTTTTTTTAGTTTTGATATTATTACTGCTCCAAGTAAATTTCCTCTGTACAAGAATATTTTACAGTCTTTACTCCAGTTAACGATTATTCAATAGTTGACTGTTGAATAAACGGCATACAGACCTGGCAGCAGATGTCGAAAATCTGTGACGTATTCCTCAGACCACTCCCTCTTCCTGTTGCAGGCCACTTCCATCTCGAACGGCGTCACCACAGGTTTGTAAAACTCACTGGAGTCCAGCAGCGAGTTTTCCGGACATGCAATCAGCACAAAGATGTCGATCTCCAGGAAGTTTGCCAATTTAGGAACGTTGAGCTTCCCCATGGCGAACATGTAGCTCTTCTTGCCGGCTCTCTGAAGAGTCTCTTTGAGCTGCTGGATGACGGCGAGGTAGTCTGCGACGCCCAGGGTGCCAACGAGGATCCCGACCACGTTGGCGTCTTTGGCCCGTTCAATGGCATAATAGCGCTTCATTAGAGCACGGTTGACGTTAACAGATTCGGTCCTTCCCTTCATTGATACGGGATCAAAAGAGCAGAAGGAGCAGCGATTCCAGGTCATCATGAAGTTTCGTAATGTGGCGCCCTCCTGGCCAACATAGAACATCTGGTAATCCGTCAGAGAGGAACCGACTTTTAAGGAGAACTGCCGTCCGAAATGAAAAACCACCGGGCTGTTTTCATCCTGAATAGGACAGGTTTGGTTATTTTGTCGTTTAGTCCGTCCATGACTGAAGCACTGCTCCCCTTCAACGACAAGCTCAGTGGCTGTAAGGTTTGGATACTCTGGTAAGAGGAGTTTTAGAAGATCGCCTAAAAAAAAGTAAGGAGAAAAATTAGCTTTGAGCAGAAGTTCTAACAGATAAAAGCTAGGAAAACGTACCGATTGCGTGGTCGTAGTTGACATCATGAAGGAGGAGGATGTTCGTCTGTGTGTCCTGGTAAAGCTCCCTGAAAGAAGCGGCGCACATCTCCACATCGAGGGGCCTTTTCTCAAAGACGTACATGACGGGAAGCCGTTTGGACGGACTGAGGCAGGCGCCGCCGTAGTGCACTATGCAGTCAGCTCCCACGTGTTCTGCCGCCACCTCGTCAACACAGCAGCTGCACAAAAACAGATTAAACCCTTAAATTCATTCCAGACTAGAAATTAATCAAGAATTGAACAACAACAAAACAGATGTTCTGTAATAAATATTCTTATAGGTAAATAATGACAACCCTCTGCTGTTCCTTGGAAGAGAACTCATCCTCTTGTCTTTAATGAGGTAATGATGAAAAACAAAGTAGTGCAAATTTGCATTTCAAAAGGAAAACAATGCATAATTTTCGCATCTTTCTATTGATTACAATCTGAAAGGTGTGGAGTGCTTTTGAACTCAGCTTCTTTTAGCAGACCTTCTGTAGAACCGTCTGCTGCTGCAGTTACAAAAGGTAGCTCTATTTGCTAAATAGCTCATTAGCTCTGGGGAGAAGGCTATTATGGTAACAGAAACAGAGGTTGAGATAACTTAAGAGTTTCCTTGATATTAGGTTTAAAAACTAAAGTTTCCATAAACCTACTTTGTGAAAAAAGCCTCAGTTTTCAGTCTTGGATGCATGTTCAATGTTTGTTGACCTGTAGAAATGTTAACATCTGTCTGAATCTTTGGCAGCATCTTTGAAAAAGGTTTTCTTCAAGGACTATCCTGCATCTATCTCCTCTTCACCTCTGACAATCTTCCCTTACCCTGCAAAAGTAAAATATTCCCTCAGCATAATACCGCCACCACCTTATCAAACTGTTTGGATGGTTTATTAAAGCCCAACACCAACTGTGGTGTTAGCAGACCAAAGCATCCTTTTCCATATGTTTAATCATGCATAAGTTTGGGCAACACTAGAAAAAAATGACTTGTCTCTTGGTGCTCTTCCTGCCTCACTACTATAGATCTATGTTTATAGACTGTAGTTTTTCTCTCTCAGGATCTCTGCAGCTTCATACTTCTTATTAACGTAACAACATAATACAGAAATGTTAAAGGTGTATAAAATAATGTTGCCAGGAATGGCATCAATAAAGAAATGTCACATTTCCCACAAATATAAACAGTACCTTCCATAAGACGTATCTCCCAAAATAAATGTTTTGGTTTGAGTGTTTCTCTCGATCTCTGCAGCCACTGCTGCTGAATCAACCAGCAGCTCGTCAGGAAACTGCAAAGCGACCTGAAAAAAAAACAAACAAAACATGCATTTTAAAACTATGTTAAAGAGTTTCCAATCATTTCCCAAAAACAATTTTATTAACCCACATGGCTTTGTTAATTGTGGAAGAGGATTAGGGCCGCTGAAAAAAATGAAAAAGTAAACTGATTTTTACATTTTATTTCTGTATAATATGAAAGGAACAATTCTCGGAATTATGACTTTTCCCCTGAGAATTATGACTTCTTCCTCAGAATTATGACTTTTAATCTCATAATTCTGACCTTTTTCCTCAAAATTCTGACTTCTTCCTCAAAATTCTGACTTTTAATCTCAGAATTCCAGACTTCTTCCTCAGAATTCCAGACTTCTTCCTCAAAATTCTGAATTTTTATCTCAGAGTTCTGGACTTTTATCTCAAAATTCTGGACTTTTATCTCAAAATTCTGGACTTTTATCTCAAAATTCTGGACTTTTATCT